AACCAGTCTAAACAGGACTAAAACCAGGACTAAAACCAAGTCTAAACCAGGTCTAAACTAGGACTAAACCAGGACTAAATCCAAGTCTAAACCAAGTCTAAACCAGGTCTAAACTAAATCTACACCAGGACTAAAACCAGGTCTAAACTAGGACTAAACCAGGACTAAAACCAAGTCTAAACCAGGTCTAAACCAGGACTAAAACCAAGTCTAAACCAGGTCTAAACTAGGACTAAACCAGGACTAAAACCAAGTCTAAACCAGGTCTAAACCAGGTCTAAACTAGGACTAAACCAGGTCTAAACCAGGTCTAAACCAGGACTAAAACCAAGTCTAAACCAGGTCTAAACCAGGTCTAAACTAGGACTAAACCAGGACTAAAACCAAGTCTAAACCAGGTCTAAACTAGGACTAAACCAGGACTAAAACCAGGTCTAAATTAGATCTAAACCAGGTCTAAACTAGGACTAAACCAGGACTAAAACAGGATTTAACAGGACTAAACATGCTGTGCAGATGTGTCTCCTCTTCTTCTATCAATAATATTTTTAATACGGTTAAGTGTCCGAGTCTTTGCTTCTCTACAGCAAATCAAGTAATCCAAAGTATTCAGATTACATTACTCACTTTAAGTAATTTAATGGATTACGTTACAAACTACATTTTGGGTTGTGTAATCTGTAATCTGTAGGGGATTACATTTTAAAAGTAGTAGTAGTAGTAGTAATATCTGACCAATGTTTGATGAAAATAGACGCAGATCAGTCGTAACGTGAGAAGAAACACCCTGGTTGTGTCGCTCTAACCACATCTCCCTGAAATAAACTCATCAACTCATCAACTCGTCTGTTCCCACGGCCCCCGCTTCTTACCCATCATGCTCTGCTGCCCGCCCAGATAGGAAGTGGAGAGGAACAGACAGGAAGTCACGATGCTGAGAGCTGGTGATGTGTGTTACTGCGAACAGGAAATGAAACCAGCCTCGTGGGTCTGGTTACGCGACGGCGACTGTCACAATCCAGTACTGGCAAAGACTCAATACTCGTGTTGGGAAGGTGACTTTTAAAATGTAATCCCCTACAGATTACAGATTACAGATTACACACCCCTAAAATGTAGTTTGTAACGTAATCCATTAAATTACTTAAAGTGAGTAATGTAATCTGAATACTTTGAATTGCTTGATATTGTCATGCTTTTTAAAACTACAGTTTAGTTCTGGTTTAGTCCTGGTTTTAGTCCTGGTTTTAGTCCTGGTTTTAGTTCTGGTTTAGTCCTGGTTTAGTCCTGGTTTTATTTCTGATTTTAGTTCTGGTTTAGTTCTGGTTTAGTCCTGGTTTTAGTTCTGGTTTTAGTCCTGCTTTTGGTTCTGGTTTAGTCCTGGTTTAGTCCTGGTTTAAGTCCTACTTTAGTCCTAGTTTAGTCCTGGTTTTAGTCCTGGTTTAGTCCTGGTTTTAGTTCTGGTTTAGTCCTGCTTTAGTCCTAGTTTAGTCCTCGTTTAGTCCTGCTTTAGTCCTAGTTTAGTCCTGGTTTTAGTCCTGGTTTAGTCCTGGTTTTAGTCCTGGTTTAGTCCTGGTTTTAGTCCTGGTTTAGTCCTGGTTTTAGTTCTGGTTTAGTCCTGGTTTAAATCCTGCTTTAGTCCTAGTTTAGTCCTGGTTTAGTCCTGGTTTAGTCCTGGTTTTAATTCTGGTTTAGTCCTGGTTTAGTTCTGGTTTAGTCCTGGTTTTAGTCCTGGTTTAGTCCTGCTTTTAGTCCTGCTTTAGTCCTAGTTTAGTCCTGGTTTAGTCCTAGGTTTAGTTTACCTAGTTTATTTTAGTCCTGGTTTAGTCCTTTTAGTCCTGGTTTAGTCCTAGTTTAGTCCTGGTTTAGTCCTGGTTTAGTCCTGGTTTAGTCCTGGTTTTAGTCCTGGTTTTAGTCCTGGTTTAGTCCTAGGTTTTAGTCCTGCTTTTAGTCCTGGTTTAGTCCTAGTTTAGTCCTGGTTTAGTCCTAGGTTTTAGTCCTGGTTTAGTCCTGGTTTTAGTCCTGGTTTAGTCCTGGTTTTAGTCCTGGTTTAGTCCTGGTTTAGTCCTGGTTTAGTCAATTGAACAAAGGAGAGATTGTGGCTGCGTCCTGCGTCTTTTTTTTGCAATCAGATGTAAAAACATGAACTATCCTGTGGCGGCTTATTTTGTTGATTTGAACCATCCTGTCTCTTCCTTAAGATATATTGGCATTGAACATGTGGCACTGCCCCCTTGAGGTGGGGATCTAGAGATGCTCCTGTCAAAAAGAGACACTTCTGGATTCACCATCTTAAAACTCTTACTCCTCGTGGACTGAATGTGGAGTTTGATTTAAGATGTTTTTTGTGACGGACTGAAACTATTTCTGTATTTTATCAAATGTTTTTTATGTAAACTGTTGTTTCTTGTTGTAGAATGGGCTGAACTCACTGGGTGACCTCACTCTGGGACCTCCCGTTCATTGAGTGGGTATATGGGCACCTGGGCTGTGGTCCAAGACAAGAAAAATACCTGATGAAGGCTTTTTTTGCCGAAACGTTATTTTGTTAATAAAAAAGTATTTGGACATCGGCCAACCGAGTGGGCTATGCATTTTTTCACCCTGGTCTGGCTACTCCTTGCATTTGCACCTCTGCAGGAATCTTGGTGTGCGTTTTCTGTTTCTTTTGCTTCCTGTTTCCCGTCATGGAGTTCAACAAAGATTGTCTAAGAAACGACAAGTTGTGTTTAAAACATACATGCAGGTTGACATGTAAAACAAGGAGAAAACAATTACATAAAGGAATGAGAAACAGTGTAGATTTGACAGAATCAACAATCAAAGCATCAAATTTTTATTATTTATTTCAGGTAAAAGAAGTATTTGTTGTTGGTTTTTTTTGCAGGTTACAGTTCAGAACAGAATGTAGAAGGAACTGGCTGCTCAGTCAGTCTTGTCTAGTCTCTATAACATAAACAAAATATCAACAGATTTACCCATATTCAGAGACACGAGCATAATGCCACTTCTACAATACCGTGGTGTAGTATTTGCTGATCTGTGCAGTTTCGCGGCCGTACGAGACTCTGGGATCTTCTCTGTCTCGTCTTCTGCTTTCACCAAACTGAGCAGTGCCACTTTATTGAACCCAGTGTTTTATCCTGAATCAGCATTTGGCCTTTGCACCAGCTTTTCCACATGTGACTGAAACACAAACCACCGTTATTGATGCTGAAATATGAAAAACCTCCCATTCTCATGCACTCGGCAAAATACATTGTTGGTGAACTAAAGACGTGTGGGGGCGCGGCAGAAGCTCTCGAAACTATTCTCTATCTCTGTGTATCTGTGTATTTATACAAAAGAGAAGTACTAGGAAAAAATATATTTATATAAAGACAAATTAAACTCAGGGAGTATTATCTGTTACATAAGGGTGAGTTGTTGTACAGTTGTAGGGAGTATTATCTGTTACATAAGGATGAGTTGTACAGTTGTAGGGAGTATTATCTGTTACGGATGAGTTGTACAGTTGTAGGAGTATTATCTGTTACATAAAGTGACTTGTTGTACAGTTGTAGGGAGTATTATCTGTTACATAAGGATGAGTTGTCCAGTTGTAGGGAGTATTATCTGTTATATAAGTGTGAGTTGTTGTACAGTTGTAGGGAGTATTATCTGTTACATAAGGGTGAGTTGTTGTACAGTTGTAGGGAGTATTATCTGTTACATAAGGGTGAGTTGTTGTACAGTTGTAGGGAGTATTATCTGTTACATAAGGATGAGTTGTCCACTAGTAGGGAGTATTATCTGTTACATAAGGGTGAGTTGTTGTACAGTTGTAGGGAGTATTATCTGTTACATAAGGGTGAGTTGTTGTACAGTTGTAGGGAGTATTATCTGTTACATACGCATGAGTTGTCCAGTTGTAGGGAGTATTATCTGTTACATACGGATGAGTTGTACAGTTGTAGGGAGTATTATCTGTTACATAAAGGTGACTTGTTGTACAGTTGTAGGGAGTATTATCTGTTACATAAGGATGAGTTGTCCACTAGTAGGGAGTATTATCTGTTACATAAGGATGAGTTGTCCACTAGTAGGGAGTATTATCTGTTACATAAGGATGAGTTGTCCACTAGTAGGGAGTATTATCTGTTACATAAGGATGAGTAGTACAGTTGTAGGGAGTATTTTCTGTTACATAAGAATGAGTTGTGCAGTTGTAGGGAGTATTATCTGTTACATAAGGATGAGTAGTACAGTTGTAGGGAGTATTTTCTGTTACATAAGAATGAGTTGTGCAGTTGTAGGGAGTATTATCTGTTACATAAGGATGAGTTGTTGTACAGTTGTAGGGAGTATTATCTTCCATAAGGGTGAGTTGTTGTACAGTTGTAGGGAGTATTATCTGTTACATAAGGATGAGTTGTGCAGTTGTAGGGAGTATTTTCTGTTACATAAGGATGAGTTGTGCAGTTGTAGGGAGTATTATCTGTTACATAAGGATGAGTTGTACAGTTGTAGGGAGTATTATCTGTTACATAAGGATGAGTTGTGCAGTTGTAGGGAGTATTTTCTGTTACATAAGGATGAGTTGTGCAGTTGTAGGGAGTATTATCTGTTACATAAGGGTGAGTTGTCCACTTGTAGGGAGTATTTTCTGTTACATAAGGATGAGTTGTGCAGTTGTAGGGAGTATTATCTGTTACATAATGATGAGTTGTGCAGTTGTAGGGAGTATTATCTGTTACATAAGGATGAGTTGTGCAGTTGTAGGGAGTATTATCTGTTACATAAGGATGAGTTGTCCAGTTGTAGGGAGTATTATCTGTTACATAAGGATGAGTTGTAGGGAGTATTATCTGTTACATATGATGAGTTGTGCAGTTGTAGGGAGTATTATCTGTTACATAAGGATGACTTGTCCACTTGTAGGGAGTATTATCTGTTACATAAGGGTGAGTTGTCCACTTGTAGGGAGTATTATGTGTCATGTGTGTGTTTGTGTGTTGCAGAGTTGAGTTCGACGCTGATGGAGAAGATGCAGGCTCAGGAGCTGATGACTGGCCTGAGGGTCCCGGAGATGCAGGACTTGGGGCAGTTGTTCCGGTCTCTGCCCCCCTCGGCCCTGGTGGGGATCGGGGCCCTCGCAGCCGTCCTGGCCTACTGGTTCGCCACGAGACCCCGGCCCATCAAAGCCCCCTGCAGCCTCCAGCACCAGTCCGAGGAGGTGCCGGTAAGACTGAAGACCGCGCACGACAAGGCCACCCAACTGTCCGCGGTCTTTGAATTTATCTCAGCCACCAAATGAAATAAAACTAACAAGCTTCTAGGACTGCGAAATATGAAAAAAAAAAAAAAGCTGGAACCTGCTTATTTTCACTGCAATGATCAGTTTGTGCTCCAAAACACTGCAAGAAATTCCCCATATTTTAAGTGATACTTTGCAGCTGATATCAACACTACTTGGGTGTGTGAAATTAACTGCAGGCTCCAGTCTGTCTGAAGCTCTGTGACGCAAGTTAGACTTTAATCTGAGTATTTTATCATAATCCGACCAGAAACAACTGACATAACTGAACTAGAACAGGTGAGCCGTCCCCACAGACTGTGTAAAGAAGTGGACGAAGCGAGTGTGACGCCACCCGTGGGCTCCAGTCAAATGAAGCTCACTGAGAAGAAATTATGAATTAGATACATTTGGGCCGAGTTCATTTCCACAGGCCCAGATCTTCTATCGTCTTGTGGCCACAACGGTTTGTCAAAGCCTGATCCCATCAGGATCTCAGAAGCTCAGCAGGACCAGGCCTGGTCAGGACTTGGATGGAGACACTGGGAAAATCAGGAGCCACAGGGAGGCGCCAGTAAAAACTGTTGTTGTGTCCTTAGGCAAGACACTTCACCCTCATTGCCTTGTATGAAAGTGGTGTGTGTGTGTGTGTGTGTGTGTGTGTGTGTGTGTGTGTGTGTGTGTGTGTGTGTGTGTGTGTGTGTGTGTGTGTGTGTGTGTGTGTGTGTGTGTGTGTGATGGTGGTGGGCGGAGGGGCCGATGGTGCAGATTGGCAGCCTCGCTTCCATCGGTCTGCCCCAGGGCAGCTGTGGCTACAGTTGTAGTTTACACCACCATGTATGGAGTGAATGAATAATGATCTGTAAAGCATCTTTGAGTGTCCAAAAAAGTGCTATATAAAACTGATGCATTATTATTATTATCAAATAAGACAAGGAAACACTGAAATCTTTATATTAAATAAAGTTAAATATATAATATTTAACAGTAACATCGCAGGCTACAGTGTGAATTTCCTTTTATAATATAGTGAGATTTTATTTATACATCTCCTTTCTAAACAAAGTTAAATATGATGTAATGAAAATGATAAAATCAAATATTAAACTCAAACTATTCAATCATGTAACGTAGGTTTTCTGCCGCAAAACTAGCATACACATGCATACATGTACATGTACATGTACATGTACATGTACATGTACATGTGTATGTACATGTACATGTACATGTACATACACATGTACACACATGTACACATGTACATGTGTACATGTACATGTACATGTACATGTACATGTACATGTACATGTACATGTACATGTACATGTACATGTACATACACATGTACATGTACATGTACATACACATGTACATGTACATGTACATGTACATGTACACATGTACATACACATGTACATGCATGTGTACGTACATGTACATGTGCATACACATGCACATGTACATACACATGTCGCTGCTGAACTGCTCCAAACAGACAATAAAACCAAAATACTTTTAAAATATGATTTGTTACTCCCCTTCTGCCTCAGCAGCGTTCGACAGTATTTAACCTGTAACAGTGCCTGGGGTCCTGCACATGTGCAGTAGAGCCAAGGAGCTCAAATCGACAGGACACCGGCTCCTTCTGACTCTGGCTCCCATTGACTTACATTGGAATACTGTGGCTCCTCTCTGTTACTGCTGCTGGGAGCCTCGCCATTTTGGTCTTAAAATGTTCATATTAATCGCTCTACATGATCCTGGAGGTTTTTATTTAGCCAAAAGACAGTAAGAAACGTTCAAAACAGAACAAATGCTGTAAGTCCACATCTCCCAACTGCAGCTTTACTCCTATTTATATTTAAAAATGAAGTCTGATGTTCCCACTTCTACCGAGAGCCTCCCCTTCACAAAGAGCTCAGCCTGTGTGAGTCTGTGCTCCAAATGGTTCACAAACTGATTCGGTCTCAGTACAGGTACATTTTAGGGCAAATGTGCCGGATTAATAAAACTCTGGTGTTGTTTTAAGTCGACATGTTATCTGCAGATTATTTCCAAAGTGAGAGACAGAGCCAGTCTGTGAGAGGAGAGACGGTGGTTGGAGCAGAGAGACAGATGAGAGTTTCTGTGCTTTTGCTGTGGTTCTGTCTTCTCCTCAGAGCAGAGCATCTGATGGTCACACAGATTTCTCTTCTCTTGTGTTCTTTCCACTTAAAGGTCTTATATTACCCAAAATGAACTCTTGTGAGCTTCAAGTCATGTTAGAACACTGTTATCTCCTCAAAAACAGATCTGGAGTTGTGTTTAGCTTCATTCACACGTTTATTATTATTTTGTCTACATCTCCAAAGCTCAGAAATGCTCTGTTCCACCTTGTGATGTCATGTAGTGGTACATTTAACTTCCTGAGACCCAAACTCTTGCATGGCTTTATTGATTTCTCTTTGTTATTTGGGCTGATTGGGACCTGATGCTTGCAAAAACAAATAATTATATTTTTTGTTTATATTTATATGTCCACATATGATATATAAAACATTAATTTGATGTTTTTGATGGACACAATAAAGTCACAATTGAATAATGATTTGCAAAACGGATTTATTAAGTGCCTGAACAGCCCAAAATGTGTTGGACATGTGTGCACATGTGTATATATACAGTGATCCAAATTTCTAGTTTCAAGTTTCTAGTGAAGGTGTGTGGATTTTAAAAAGACAAGACAAGGCAAGTTTATTTGTACAGCACAATTCGTACACAAAGTAATTCAAAGTGCTTTACAGAATAAGAATAAAAACAAATCAAAACATAAATAATGATGAAGATTAAAAAAAAAAAAAAGAGAGACATAAATTGGAGAGAAGAGTGCAGAATGAAAACCTTTCAGTTATTTGCACAGTTAAACAGAAATGTTTTGAGTCTGGATTTAAACAGCGTCACAGAAGAGTCTGTCTCACATGTTCAGACTGTTCCAGGTTTTAGCTGCATGAACCTGAAACTCTGACTCCCCTTGTTTAGTCGTGACTCTGGGCACCAGCAGGAGTTGGTCCCTGAGCTCCTCAGAGTGTGAGATGTTCATATGACACTAACATGTCACAGATGGACTTTGGTGCTCGGCCATGGAGACACTTGTACAAACAGAGACAGCTTTAAAGTCTCTGAGCCACAGGAGCCAGAGCAGAGACCTGAGACCAGGACTTATGTGCTCGTACTTCCTAGTTCGAGTCAGGACCCGAGCTGCAGCGTTCTGGAGTTCTGGATGTTCTGGATGTTCTGGATGTTCTGGATGTTCTGGATGTTCTGGATGTTCTGGATGTTCTGGATGTTCTGGATGTTCTGGATGTTCTGCAGCGTCTCACAGCTCGTTTGGAGAGACCAGTGAGCAGAACATTACAGTATCTAACCTACTGGAGACAAACGCATGGATAAGTTTCTCCAAGTCTGATTTAGACAGTAAACCTTTGATTTTTGTGATGTTTTTTTAGATGGTAAAAGGCTGCAGATGTTATTGATTTGATGTGGCTGTTAAAGTTCAAGTTTGAGTCCATTATTACCCCAAGATTTCTTGCCTGATTTGAAGGTTTTAGACACAGTAGAGCCTTCATATAGTACCACTTAATGACATCACAAGGTGGAATAGAGCGTTTCTGAGCTTTGGAGACGTAGACAGAATTTTCAGAGTCAAAAATAGCATTATTATTTAATGATCTTGACATCCCTAAATGTACTTCTGATCCCAGATTTGGGTCTATTTTTGTGTAAGTCACATTGTAAGAACTGTGATTTAAATTATTTAAATTATTTCAATTGTGACATTCCTATCATTAGAATGAAGACGTTAGGACTGCTGTTTATTATATTTCAGTCAGGGGACAACAGACCAAGCCCCCACTTTCCAAAATGGCCGCCCATTCAAGTCAATGGGCCGAGCTCAATGTCTCATGATCCCAGATTCGCCTTTAGCCCGGTGAGGTTCTTCCGGTGGCTGTGGGTCGACCGAGCATGTGCAGTAGTGCTCTTGTCTCCCGCCAATGCACGCGAACACACACACGGAGCACAGGTTCGTGTGTCACGTGATCGCTTTGACCAGTCAGAGCGAGAGGAGCTGGAGCGGAACCGAAGCCAACGATTATAAAGCGTTTTTTAAGACAACTGAAGGATTTTGAGTGAGAAAAAGTGTATGATCTAAAAATAGGTAAAAATCGCCACAAAATCCGACATTTTTGAAAGTTGAAGGTCCCTGTCAGCCGAACACGAGCAGTTTGTGATTATGTTGCGCTTTATGAGAAAAATCTTCTCTCGGCCCATGGGATTTTTTCCGCTAGAACCAGTGAGTGTCACTATGGCTGCGTTCAGACTGCAGCCTGAAGTGACCCAAATCTGATTTTTTGGCTTCTATGTTCCTGTATCCGATCTTTTAATGACAGTCTGAACCACACAGATCAGATTTTTTCAAATGTGACCTCAGGACACTTGGATATGTGCTCCTGAAACTGATACATATCTGATCTTTTGACATGTGACTTCAGTGTGAACGGCCAAAGCTCATTCATCCACCAACACTCATCAACAAGACACAAACGTCACTATTCTGCGCTGAAGTAGGCGAAAATTGTTAATGAACTCCATGTCACTGAAGTGAAGCACATCACCACTCACCACTCTTGGCTCCGTCTCCACATCCACACGTTCCTTTCAACGGACGTCGCTGCCGCTGTCCCACAAAACACCACGACCAAAAACCTGGTCCTTCTCCTTCTCAATCTCCTCCTTAAAACAAGTAAGTTGTTCATGTTCTGGCTCCGGTACGAGAGGAACTTTAAAATCTCCAGGTGCTCGATGCTGCGTCCATGTTTGAACAACTTCCGTAAACACAGAGACGCTCGCTGCGGTTGACGTCGTCGTGTCTCCAGTGTCACATGTGGGACACTTTCGGGCCGTTTAACGTTCACACTGGAGTCACATACAAGTCACATTTAACTGGAAATGTGAACGACCTCGAAAAAACATCGGATTTTCAAAAAAATCGGAATAGTAAGCCTGCAGTCTGAACGTAGCCTCTGTCAACTGGAGGCAGCTACAAGCAACAACACTGTATCCAGTTATTTTAATAGATCCATGCTGCAGACTCCTAAATTCGAGGGTTTGTGTGTTAAACGTGTGAACTCCAGGTCTGTTTGTGATGAAGAAACATGGATGAGGAAGTCGCGTAATACGGGCTCTTTAAATGTGTGAACTGTTTTATGCTTATCCATGTCCTCCGACGTGCAGATGGACGTGGACCAAAGAGACGCTCGTAAAACCTGTCGTGGACTTAAGCGCTTCCTTGACCTTTGACCCTGAGGAGGTGGAGTCAGCAGATGTGTTGAACCACGGCCACAGGGTCCAACAGTGCGGCGTCTTTTTGGACATTTATTACTCCCATGTGTACAAACGGTTCCTGCCACCTCCATCCTTCTGTTTGTGACTCTCGTTCTGTTTCTCTCTCTCAGAATGAAGGAGGGGGGAGGAGGTCCATGATGGGAGACCCGACCAAGCTGCTGACCCATTACCATGACGACGCCCGCACGCTTTATGAAGTGTTCCAGAGGGGCCTCAACATCACCGGTGAGTCCTGGTTTAGTCCTGGTTTAAATCTGGTTAAGTCCTGGTTTAAATCTGGTTTAGTCCTGGTTTTAACCTGGTTTTAGTCCTGGGTTTAGTTCTGGTTTAAGTCCTGGTTTAGTCCTGGTTAGTCCTGGTTAAGTCCTTGGTTTAGTCCTGGTTCAGTCCTGTTCAGTCCTGGTTTAGTTCTCGTTTAGTCCTGGTTAGTCCTGGTTTAGTCCTGGTTTAGTCCTGGTTTAGACCTGGTTTAGTCCTGGGTCAGTTCTGGTTTAATTCTGGTTTAGTCCTGGTTTAGTCCTGGTTTAGTCCTGGTTTAGACCTGGTTTAGTCCTGGGTCAGTTCTGGTTTAATTCTGGTTTAGTCCTGGTTTAGTCCTGGTTTAATCCTGGTTGAGTCCTGGTTCAGTCCTGGTTTAGTTCTCGTTTAGTCCTGGTTCAGTCCTGGTTTAGTTCTGGTTTAGTCCTGGTTAGTCCTGGGTCAGTTCTGGTTTAATTCTGGTTTAGTCCTGGTTTAGTCCTGGTTAAGTCCTGGTTTAGTCCTGGTTGAGTCCTGGTTCAGTCCTGGTTTAGTTCTCGTTTAGTCCTGGTTCAGTCCTGGTTTAGTTCTGGTTCAGTCCTGGTTAGTCCTGGTTTAGTCCTGGTTTAGACCTGGTTTAGTCCTGGGTCAGTTCTGGTTTAATTCTGGTTTAGTTCTGGTTTAGTCCTGGTTTAGTTCTCGTTAGTCCTAGTTTAGTCCTGGTTTAGACCTGGTTTAGTCCTGGTTCTGGTTTAATCTGGTTCAGTCCTGGTTTATCTGGTTTCCGGTTTAGTCTGGTTTAGTCCTGGTTTAGTTCTCGTTTCGTTTAGTCTAGTTTAGTCCTGGTTTAGACCTGGTTTAGTCCTGGTTCAGTGGTTTAATTCTGGTTCAGTCCTGGTTTAGATCTTGTTCAGTCCTGGTTTAGTTCTCGTTTAGTCCTGGTTTAGTTCTCGTTTAGTCTTGTTTTAGTCAGGTACAACGTCTTTAAACCTCAGGTGTGATCAATACTTCGAGTGTGATACAGACGATACTGCTGATTATAACATCACCACCCGATGACATCATGACGTGGGATCAAGTTTTGGTCTCCTGAAACCTTCACTCTCGTTCACTGTACTGACCTGTTCACTGAACGACCGTGAGAGTCAAATAAAACTCATGATAATCCACTTTCAGTACAGATGGAACACTTATTTTTGAGGGGTCAGTATTAATCGTGGTACTTTTACTTTGTACTAGTACTACTTTTGTACTTGTTCTGTTCTGTGATCAGATTTAAGTGTTTATTGCAGCTCATGGTCACTAACAATCCTGCAAATACAGAGCAGGTTTTTGTCAGTGGCATTCAGCACTATGGTTTATCGTCTGTATTTTCTTCAGCGATATATCGTCCTTCGGGTGTGTGTATTGTCCCTTCACGTTGTCTCTTGTGTGTGACAGGTGAGGGGCCCTGCCTCGGCTCCCGTCTGCCCAACCAGCCTTACAAATGGTTATCCTACAAAGAGGTGAGTGCCCGTCAAACTGTGTCAAAACCACATGAGTTTAAAGGTTTTACGTCACACCTAAGTGACTCTTGTGAGATTTAAAGGTTGTATAGAGGATTTTCCAAGGAAGGAGAAATCCAGCGACTGTTTGTCCTTTTTTAAACATTGCGCATGCGTGAAACCACCTCCTCCCTCCTCCTCCTTACGCCAGAAACAGGTTTGTTTACACTGCACATGACTTGTAAACAACTAACTACAGTGTTGGTTAGGCAAGACGGAGAAGTGAGGAGCGGGGAGCAAGGAGAGGAGCAGGAAAGGGGTGCAGAGAAGAGTGCGCGGAGATTCAGTGCGAATGAAGCTACACGCAGCAGCAAGCGGACTCTTTCTTTGCCTTGAAAATTACGTTTTCAGACATAGGATATCGCTTTAGTGTTCTGAAAAACGTTTGTCTGCTCTTGGAAATAAAGTACGTTTTCATAATAAGCAGAAGTTTCCTGTCCAGGAGTAATTTGTGGACCAGTGGTTCAGTCTTTAGACTCTTCGTCTGCTTCAGTCGCGCCATCGCTGGAATTAATCTCCAAGAATCACCTTAGTTTGGCTTCGCTGCTTTTCCCCTTGTCTTCTTCTTTCAGCGACCTCAAAAACGGACTTTCTTTTGCGGCGAACTGCTCCTGGATTCTTGTCGCCATTGCAACAAACTTTGTGCCGCTAAGAACTGTTGCGTTGGTGGAGTAAACAGCGTCTGTGCGTCTTGCGTCTGTGGACTGAGTGACAGTCGTACGTAAACCACGTAACGGCGGCGCAGGCAAGTCAGTTACACTAGAAACGTAGGGAGTTTGATTGACAGCCTGTCAGCTCACAGATAACGAGGCAGTGTCGTTATCTATTGGCAAATGTTTAGCCCCACCACGTCCAGAGTTGATGAATTTTTATTCTCTTTTTTTTGGTCATCATAATTACAAGGCGACTGCACCTTTATAATCTATCACTGACAATTTGAAACAAAAAAAATCCTCCATACAACCTTTAAGCTGTGTTAGAATGTTCCCTCCTCAAAAATAGACCTGGGGTCACGTTTGTTTCACTCACGTGTTGGAGTAACTTTTATTATCCCACTGAACATTAGACGTCTTCTGGACGTACAGATCATGTCTCTGTTGTTCTGTACAAATGATCTGCAGTTAAACATTTGAACTGAACTGAACTCTGCTGACACAGACGCAGGAAAACAACATTATTAATGAATATAATACTTTTTTATTATTATTATTTATGACAAATATCAACATTGTTGTTAGGTAACACTTTATAATAACTACACCTTATTTAGCCTTAATAAAGCATGAACAAAGACTTAATTAATAATGATTCACGTTTATTAACTACTTAATTATTACCTGAATTAGCACTTAACTTGCACTTCATTTGCCTGTGCTGTAGTTACTCATAAGTATTTCTTACTTAATTACTCATGAACGAACCATTTGGGGCGACAGTAGCTCAGTTGGTGGAGCATTCGCCCACTGATCTGAAGGTTGGTGGTTTGATTCCAGCTCTCGACATAAACATCACAGGTTGAGCGTCAGATCCACTGACCACAGGTTTAGCTGGTGTGATTCCAGCTCCCACAGATGAATGCTGTCGTTGTGTCCTTGGGCAAGACACTTAACCCACCTTGCCCACAGTGTCTGCGTACACTGGTGTGTGAATGTGTGTGTGTGAATGTGTGAGTGGTTCCTTGTTGTAAAGCACTTTGAGCCTTGAAGGTGGAAAAGCTCTATAGAAAAATGAAAAATATAGAAAAAATGTGACCATTTACCATGTGACCATTAGCGTGTGCATTTGTAAATGTATATTTAAGTACAAATTTGAGCATTTATTAATGATTATTAAGCCATGAGAGAAGGATTTACTAGTAATGCATTATTGTTTCTCTGAAATTTGACCAACCTTAACAAATGCTTAATAAACATCATTAGTCTTCACTTTAGAAAAGCTCTCAGAAAGATTTAACTAACAGATAACAGCTGCCTGAATGATCATTGCATTGTATTATTAGTAAATCATTCTCTCATAGTTTACTAATCATTAATAAATGCTCAAATGTGTATTTAAATATGTATTTGTAAACATGCAAATGGTTAGTTCATGAGTAATTAAGAAGTATTGAGTTAACTATTTACAGCACAGGTGAATTAAGTGCAAGTTAAGTGCTAATTCAGGTAGTAATTAAGTAGTTACTAAGCGTGAATCATTATTAATTAAGTCTTTTTTCATGCTTTATTAAGGCTAAATAAGGTGTAGTTATTATAAAGTGTTACCTGTTGTTATGAATATTATTCATTAAGATTAATTTTGATTGTTTGTGATTAAACGCTTATCAATAATTATTTATTTGAGCACATGATGATTCTGTTTTCTGTTTAATGAACTAATTTAGGTGTTTATGTGTGTTTATTTATTTGGAAATGTAATTTGAGGAAAATTATAGCCTACTCATAAAAAAACTATTAAAACTCTATGGGCCTATGAGTTCGACCATAAAAACGGTCTAAAAGGGCGGCACTTACGGGCGGCCGTGGAGCTCAGTTGGCAGAGGAAAGAGAAAAAACAAACATCAATACTTGGCGTCTGGACGACGTTAGAACAAGACGTCGTCTGGCGTCTCAGTGTTTACCTTCAGTGGATGGAGACGCACGTACAAAATGACCACAAAAAGACGTTTCAGTGTTTCTTTGGGCAGTGGGTTTAGTCTGTCCTTAAGATCAGAATGCTCTGTTCCACCTTGTGATGTCATGAAGTAGTAGTTTTCAAGTGAACAGCTCCTTTTTAGCTTCAGCTCAGTAGAAATGGGCAATTCCAGGAAATTAACCGAATGATTCTAGTCACGGTGTATGGTGTAAAAACGCAATGGAGCACTTCCTGTATTACCACATGACATCACAAGGTGCTTTCCTGTTTGAGAAAAGAAGTCCAGGGATATTTATGATGAGGTCACTACATTATAACACACAGGAGATCAGAAAATAGTGTAATATGGGCCTTTTAAATGGAAATGTAATTTTATAATGTATTAAATTTGACAGTTTTTTTTTTTTTTCATTAAGAATCATTTGATTTTTGTGGTGCACTTTGGACCTCTTGGGTTTGAATTGTGCTCGTTAAATCCTGATTCATTTTCCTTACTCGTCCTCTATTTCCTTGGAGCTTGTTTATTTAGGTGTGTGATGTGGTCCACTATTAAAAGCCTCTAAACAGAATGGTTAAATTCCTCAAAATGCTCTCTTCCACGCTGACCAGGATTTTCCACTGGATATTCCTGTTTAATTTCTTGTCTCGGCCCCAGTGTAGGAGCAGGTCTAGACGTGACTCAGCCCGCGGCGCTGACTGTTTGAAGGAGGTTTCGTTTTCTATGTGAGACTAGAGTTGCATCAGATATTTTCCTGAGAACTTGATTTAGTCCCAAAGGTTTTTAGGTGAAATTGTGCGTTTATTTATTGGTGTTAAATGTGACTCAGAAAGACAGACCGGATATTTCTGTGGTTTTTAAATTGAGCTTGGAGGATGTTGTGGGTGGTTCACAGGGCTTCATAGACATGGTACAATGTGGGACAACTGCAGATTTGTGTTGTAATACAGCATGGTGTTGGTCAATAATAGAAAGGAGGAGAAAGTTCCATATTTGGGAATTTACCTTTTCCGATATTTCACGGTAAAATATAATAATCTACAGGGAAAACTGACTCTTGTCTGGAAGTACGACATCTTCACATTTTAGAATCTGAAAACCACTTATAGGTGAGTTTCAGCGGCCGTCATTGTTATTAAAATGTACACAAACATATATATGTCTATATACATGCATGCTGGGAAATATTTTGGTAGGAGGCAAGAAACACGGTAGCGTCAAACACAGTGCGTAACCTCGCGTATTTCTCCCCGATAATGGTAAATTCCTGCTGCATTATCGGATGCACAAATAGAAGCACGGAAGAAGGAAAATGTCTTTTTTGTTTTCCGAGTGAAAAGAACCGCTAACGGTGAATTAAACGACTTTCAAACATCCGCACAGCAAACGTAGAAGATCCTAACAAACCGTGGACTCCAACAAGTTCAACAACACATCGAGACTCTTGGAGGTTTTCATCTTTTCTGCTGTGAATGGCCCAGGAGTTTCCACCAAGTCATTGTGGATGTCGCCCAAGTGAATATTTGTCCAGGTAGTTGGCGATTCCGACCAGAAATTTGGTTTGTTCCACCTTTTGTCGGGGTTGAAAAGGGTGATTTGTCGTCCGTCGATGCTTATGACCAATTTCTGGTCAAATGGTCTTGGGTCCTCTGCCGTTAGAGTGGATAAATAACCGGGATCAATACCCTTTACGTGCTTTCTCGCTCCGTCCGTCATGTTGAATTAGTGTTTCTTGCCGTCGACCAAAATAATTCCCAGCATGCAACGCGCGCTTTTGTCAATAGTGAAACTCGCCTATACTGCGTGTGTGTTTGGGCCGTAACAATATAAACATCACGGCTCGGTACGTGTCTTGGTTTTGAGGTCACGAAAGGCGGAAAAAGTGAGGACCAGGGCGCGACGACTGTAGTTTTGCGAGGATTCGTGTGGTTTTTTTGAGGGACGTAGTCAAGCAATTGTTGTCAAGGCCACCGTAACTATAAAGCACTGTGGGAAAAAGAGCCAAGTCTCCGTGCAGCTGCTCATGTAGTGGCCGAATGTAAACACACGCAAATTCACTCATGCAGCCCTGCACCGAACCCAACGTCACGTACTGAAACGTTCGGCACAAATACTTGTACCGTTACACCCCTAGTGTGTGTACATGCGCACGAGTGTCCGGTTATGAGCTTTATCCCGGGTATGACAGTATTCTGGATTTGTTCAGGCCCTGGTTTAGTCCTAGATTAGATTAAAGGGTCTGTTTGGCACGACTCTCTGATCTGTGTTCTCATGTCGTGTCCTCATCACAAACAGACCTGGAGTTGTGCTTTGTTTTGTTTCGTTCACATATTGAACACACAAACCCTGCACATTTAGGCTGTGTTCTTCTCTCAAACATTAAACTCTGCTCCACCTTGTGATGTCATGTGGTAATACAAGAAGTGCTCTACTGTGTTTTTAAACTCCACACATCTTCACGGGAATCATTTGGATGATTCCAGCCCAGGAATTGCCAATCTCTACTGAACTAAAGGTAAAAGCAGCTGTTTACTTTAAAAAAAAAAAAAAAACACCACAGGACAACTTTACTCTCAGCTCTAAAAGTAAGACTTTGATCAACTTAAGCCTCGTGCAGGTCAGGAGGATGTTCCTTTATCGTGGAAAGTTTCTTCTGAACAGTCCTGGATCAGAGAAATGACTCATATCATTAGAGGTAAAGCACAAGAATATGAAGAGAGATGGACACTCTTCATGGACTTTCTCAGGCATCTATATATGTGTAAATAGAGTGTGACAGTTTAGTTTTAATTTATTAAAATTTTGTATTTATTTATTTTTATTTTTTATAAATGTATATATATTATTGCATTTTAACCCTCTTCAGGCAGACGTTGCAGATTTGCAACAGCTAAATGCCAATTACCTACTGACTCCAAATCCATATTTTATGAGTTTTTTTTTACTCAGGAGCCTTTTTCTCCCGTCCGTGCTGATAAACGTGGACGATGCAGACTGTGTAAGAACGACTACACACAAACGACCTGCCAGAAGTGCAAAGTACTTTTGTTGTTTACAAAGGATAAAAATTGTTTTTTGGAGAACCACACGAAAAAGTGATATTGTTCTGCCACTGTAAAACTGTTACACTGAGCTTTATGTTTTCATTGTTGTGAAAAGTGGTGAAAAGTGGTCACACTGGATGTGAAGCCAGGACTGTGTATTACTGCCCCATATGATAATTTTCCCCAAATATCAGATTTTTTCCTGTTATTTAAATTTAAATTTGAGCCTGAAAGGGTTAAAAGTATTATTACTTGTTCTAATTTGAATCATTATTCTTAGTTCTTAAAAGTGCATGTATATAGACATATATATGTTTGTGTACATGTACACTGTGTACTGCAGGTCTCAGGTATCACAGTGTCAGTCAGCTGTTTGTTGACGCTCACATCTCCACGTGTGAGCCTCTGCTTACACATTTACTGTACACATTCATGTAGCGCCTGGAGGAGTCTGAAAACCTCATCATAATGACTCTGACTAATCCTCACATGGGCTCCTGCTGTTCCACCTCTGCTCTGAGAACCACCCACACAAACTCCACGCTGTTTAATGAACTTTATGGACTCATTTGGTGCTTTGTGTGTTTGTTTACTTTTGTGTCCAGTTTTTCTTTTAAACTATGGACTGAATAATGTTTAAAGAATAAGAATACTTTGCTATATCTATATCATTTGCTGTATAATTATAAAACTCTTCATTTAAAAGACAATAAAAACCATTGTGAAAAAAAAAAAAAAAAAAAACTACCACTACCTGACATCACAAGGGGAAAGGGAATAGTTTGATCTTTGGTGTGTGTAGATTAATTATCCATGTTTACTCAAACTTGTGAATGAAACAAGACACAGGTCCGGGTGTGTTTATGAGGAAGTGGCAGCGTTCTAACTCCAGTTCACAGGAGTCGAGTTTGCACAATATAAAACCTTTCACTGAGCCAAGAATTTCTTGAGTTGGAAACAGCCCTTATAATTACCTGTGATGCCTGACAGGTGGCTGCAGGCGTGTTTGAGGTTTCACGGGCTTTATATTTTACCGCCTTATGTAATGCCGTGGCACTCGTTTGCTGCTGACCTTATAAGGGCTTGTGTTCCTGTGCAGGTGAACGCGAGGGCGGAGCATCTGGGATCCGGGCTCCTGCACCAGGGCTGCCAACCCAACCCCAACCAGTTCATCGGAGTGTTTGCCCAGAACCGCCCCGAGGTAAACCCAAACCTGTAGTCTTCTGTAAAGTGACAGCGGTGGAGATGGAAGCGATCGTCTCATAAAATGACACAGCAAAAAGTCATTATAGGATATTGTTCACAGTGTTGGGAAGTTTATTTTTAAAATGTAATCCCCTACAGATTACAGATTACACACCCCAAAATGTAGTTTGTGACAGAATCTATTAAATTACTTAAAGTGAGTAACGTAATCTGAATACTTTGGATTACTTGATATTGTCCTGCTTTTTAAAACTACATGAATGTAACAACGGCATCCTGAAAATTCTTGTTAAGTTTTCTTTAAATTGTCTGTTGAGCCCAAGTCTCCATGAATAAACAACTGTTTTACTGTAGAGAAGCAAAGACGAGGAAATGTTCACATAAGATGTTTTGTTTTATCTGCTAAAAGAAAATAAAAAGCCCAGACTTTACTGAACCATATTAAAATATTATTGATAGACAAACGATTTCTATATGAGATCACTGCTGCCTTCAATTATTTAGTCCTAGTTTTAGTCCTGGTTTAGTCCTGGTTTAGTCCTGGATTAGTCCTGGTTTTAGACCTGGTTTTAGACCTGGTTTAGTCCTGGTTTAGTCCTGGTTTTAGACCTGGTTTAGTCTGGTTTTAGACCTGGTTTAGTCCTGTTTTAGTCCTGGTTTAGTCCTGGTTTTAGACCTGGTTTAGTCCTGGTTAGTCCTGGTTTTACCTGGTTTAGTCCTGTTTTAGTCCTGGTTTAGTCCTGGTTTTAGACCTGGTTTAGTCCTGGTTCAGTCCTGGTTTAGTCCTGGTTTTAGACCTGGTTTAGTCCTGTTTAGTCCTGGTTTAGTCCTGGTTTTCCTGTTTAGTCCTGGTTTAGTCCTGGTTTTAGACCTGGTTTAGTCCTGGTTTAGTCCTGGTTTTAGACCTGGTTTAGTCCTGGTTTAGTCCTGGTTTAGTCCTTTTCCTGGTTTTAGTCCTGGTTTTAGACCTGGTTTAGTCCTGGTTTAGTCCTGGTTTAGTCCTGGTTTAGTCCTGGTTTTAGACCTGGTTTAGTCCTGGTTTAGACCTGGTTTAGTCCTGGTTTAGTCCTGGTTTAGTCCTGGTTTAGTCCTGGTTTAGTCCTGGTTTTAGACCTGGTTTAGTCCTGGTTTAGTCCTGGTTTAGTCCTGGTTTTAGACCTGGTTTAGTCCTGGTTTAGTCCTGGTTTAGTCCTGTTTTAGACCTGGTTTAGTCCTGGTTCAGTCCTGGTTTAGTCCTGGTTTAGTCCTGGTTTAGTCCTGGTTTAGTCCTGGTTTAGTCCTAGTTTTAGACCTGGTTTAGTCCTGGTTTAGTCCTGGTTTTAAACCTGGTTTAGTCCTGGTTCAGTCCTGGTTTAGTCCTGGTTTAGTCCTGATTTAGTCCTAGTTTTAGACCTGGTTTAGTCCTGGTTTAGTCCTGGGTTTAATCTTGGTTTTAATTCTGGTTTAATCCTGGTTTAGCCCAAAATGTGAAAACAGGAAAATCCCGCCATTTAATCCATTTATTTCAACAAAGTAACTGTAATCCAATTCCCACTCACTGAAACAGTAACTGTAACTGAATACAGTTACTCATCATTTGTACTCTGATTACATAACTCCGGTACATGTAATCTGTTACTCCCCGACACTGATTGTTCATAATAATATTGAACTTACCACTGCAGAATAAAGAAACTCATTTTACTTGGAATAAAAACTTGCTGAAAAGGCAAAGCGACAATTTATGACTATTTTAAAATGTCTGGTTCCACCACAGACAGACTGTATTTACTGTATCTAATCTGCGCTTCTGACTCCATTAACTTCACTTTCTACTCTGTTAAATCTAATAAGCAGACCTCACTTGAAAAAATCTAATAAACCGACTGACTAAAGTGACTCAATCTAAATCTTACAAGTAATTCCTCTTTCATGTAACTAGGCTCAGCAAGTGAAGTGAGCTTCAGTTTTCATTCCTAGAACTCAGATTCTTCATATTGTGAAGCTTTGCCAACAAACCGGTCACTTCCTCAAATCTGAAATGTGTAGTAACATTAACCGTACTTTAACGCCCTATTCGCATGGGATTAGTTTGACCTTTGGTGATTTGTAATAATTGCGGACGATGCCTGAGCTCTTAATCTGAATCTGAATGCGTCATGTCTGTAATTTTGTAAAGTAATAATTGTGCTGCAAATGACCAAAAATATTTCGCCAAACCAGACGTCTGGTGATAAAACTAGTCCCGCGTGAATCTGCATCTCACTGTTTGTTGCTGTAATTTCCCTTTTTCTATCTCTGTCTTTTTCTTTCTGTGTTTTTTTCTCTTTAAATCTGTGTGTCAGTGTCAGTAAAATAGAGTCATTTACGGATTTTGCTGATCCCCGTGTGAATGCGCTGCAAGTAACACAGAGGTTGGGCGGTAATTTGCAAATTAGCAGACATCCCCAGGTTGTACTTATCGTGTCCGAACAGAGTTTAAGTGTAAGTTCATTTTACTTTGTAAACCGATCGCCTTGAATTGAGCAAATAAATGTTACTTCTATACACAAGTTACAGGAAAAACAGGTTCTGTTCTACAATAATGTCATTCAGATGTACATCAGGTACAAGGATCTGAATATTTATTCGTCTTTGAAAAAACATAGCAAAACTTTTGTTCATTTTAAGATCAAACACATTGTAACAAGGGACGTGCAGTGCGAAATTGAAAACTGTTTGGGGATCAAAATTATATTAGAGCCATGTATTGTGCTGTTGGGAATTTTTCCAAACGATTTAAGAACAAATAGCCATTTTCATTTGCTGAAAATTTTACTTTTAATTGCAAAAAAAATGATAAGGGTCTCCTGGCTCAGGCCGCTGCCCCCCACAATCACCCAGTGGAAAAATAAAATAAAGGATGTATTTCATACGGAGCAAATAACTGCAAGGTTACAAATGAAGACAGATTTATTCATGGACAAATGGTCTTCAATTCAGGCCTATATGTCAAAAGGACGACTATCTTTTGTAGGATTTTTGTTGTAGTGTGTGTGTGTGTGTGTATATATGAAAGATGAATGAGGAGACTGTGTATGACTGTGTGTATGACTGTGTGTATGACTGTGTGTATGACTGTGTGTATGACTGTGTGTATGACTGTGTGTATGACTGTGTGTATGACTGTGTGTATGACTGTATCTATACTGTCACTTTGTTATCATTTTACTTGTGTTGCATCTTTGCTGCTGTTTCATAATTATGTGGCTTGCACCAAAATTATTTAATAAAAATAAGTTCCAAAAAAAAACCACACATTGTAACATGTGAAACAGTAAACTAATAAAGCTCAGTCATTCCATGTCAACTCAATCAAAGCCCCTCCACTTAGAGCTCAAAAATATTATGAAACAAAACAGGAGAACAGGTGGAATCGAGCACAGACTGGATGAACAGAGGGAGGATATAGAGTCGCTCTGGGAGGATCAGGGAATGAGTGGCGGCTGTAGGAAAAACAGGGAGGTCGCAAAAGGTGGAGCGGAACAGACTGGGAAATGGAGCTGGAGTCTTGGCAATAACACGTCACTGTTGAAGTTACTCGCCCAGGACTAAACCAGGACTAAACCAGGACTAAACCAGGACTAAACCAGGACTAAACCAGGACTAAACCAGGACTAAACCAGGGGCACTTTGAGCACCACTCCACGAGGAAAACAAGAGCAAAGACAAAAAAACAAGTCATCTACCTTAAAACTCAAATGCCGACCCCTTTACGCGATAGTGCAGCTCTTTGCCACATAAGCACATCAACAAAGTACAACAGCACAACTGAAGTACAACAGAAAAACAGCATCTTACGCCTGCAGTGTGATCAGTGATGCATCGAGTTTACTTCTCATATTACTCATAAAAGAGAACTCAAAAGTAAAACTCATGAAAAGACTATATTCATCAAGAATGAATATGCATAATGCGTATAACCAGGAGCAGATGAGTTTTGAAACCTGGCCTCCCACATCCTGCCCCAGCGCCTGACACCAGCTCACCAGATCTGAAGTCTGGCATTTACAGGAACATACTGGGAAAACTCTTAGGCTTTGAGCAGTGTCTTTTTTTTTTTTTTCATCAGCCACATCAACAGTGACAAAAAAAAAAGAAAAAAAAAGATTCTTTTTTTTAAAAAAAAATTTAGGAAAAAATGTTTTTGATTTTTTTTTTTTTTTTTTTTTTGAGTTGGTAAAAAAAAAAAAAAAAAAAAACTTAGAAAATAGAGCCCAAATGATATATGAGAGAATACGATATTTGTTAAAGGATAATTTAAGAAAGTGTGGCAATCTCTTATTGATTTTTTAGAATCTTTAACTATGTGAATAACAACTCCAAACTCACAGATCTATGTACCTCCGCACAGTGTTGGGGAGTAACAGATTACATGTACCGGAGTTACATAATCAGAGTACAAATTATGAGTAACTATATTTGGTTGGTCTAAACTAGGTCTAAACCAGGTCTAATTTAGGTCTAAACCAGGTCTAATTCAGGTCTAAACCAGGTCTAAACCAGGTATAAACCAGGACTAAAACGGAATTTAACAGGACTAAACCATACTGTGCAGACGTGTCTCCTCTTCTTCTATCAATAATATTTTTTAATTTGGTTCAGTAAAGTCTGGGCTTTTTATTTTCTTTCAGCAGACAAAACGTGTCATGAAGATTTCCTCGTCTTTGCTTCTCTGCAGCAAACCAAGTAATCCAAAGTATTCAGATTACATTACTCACTTTAAGTAATTTAATGGATTCCGTTACAAACTGCATTTTGGTGTGTGTAATCTGTAATCTGATTACATTTTAAAAGTCACCTTCCCAACACTGCCTCCACAGGCTGTTACTATGTTTGTTCTCAGTTTGTGAAATTTATTTATTTTTTACTTTTATATACCAAAAAGTATTGAGCTCTGTTGATCCTGTACAGTTTGAACTGTGCTCTGTTTTTGGCTCAATAAAAATATTATGACTAAAATACAACAAATAGTTCGACAAATATTCTCTCCTCTCCATAATCCTCTCTCTCTTTTTCTCTCCTCTCGTCTTCTGTCTCTGTCTGTCTCTTGTTCCAGGTCTGGTTCAGGTCTTCCAGGTCTAAACCAGGTCTAAATCCAGTCTAAACCAGGTCTCAGGTCTAAACCAGGTCTAATCCAGGTCTAAGGTCTAAAC